CTTGACAATAATAAAATACATTGTTAGGGTATTTTATTATATGCATTTTAAGAAACTTTATACAAAGGAATACTTATACTTGGAATCATATTGAAATCTATATTTTCAAAAAAAAATTAAACTAAATCTTAAACGTATGCATATGCGTTGAAGGGAATGCACCTTCGGGGGCGTCCATCAATTACGTGAGCGAGTTTTTAAGGACCCCTCCCTTCCCTATGTTGATATGTGGTAATATTCAAAATTAATAAATAAAATAAAATCAATAACCCAACCTACTAATTATGTATGAAAATATGTATGATGAAAAGTGGTAGAATACATATATGTATATATATATATATATATATATATATATATATATAAAGTTGCCAGTGATCATTTCTGTATAAAGTGCAATAAGACCCGATCACAATACGTCTCCGAATGAATTCATATTCATAGAAAGTGTGAGACCTATTCACGCCAACGAACAAAGGGCAAAACTGAAACTTTGCATTGAAAATTTAATTTATTTTTACAGAATACAGATCGGAACTGTAATGAAAATACAGATAATTTTTATACTTTTCATATTAAAAATATATTTTTTGTTAAAAATAAAGTATATGCCAATAAATATGCAATGTATTAAACCAAAAAATTTCTAACTGATATCTAACCAACAAAAATATCAAAATTGGTTCAAAATTTTTTGCAAAACCTGGACGCAAAATTTTGCATCTTTCTGCTAATTGCAAACCTAACAGACGCCAATCCATAAGTTTCTTCAAATGACATAAATTTTTGAAAAAACGTCGACAAAAGATTAAATTTTGGCTTACCTACACTCATACTTTTTTCGAATTTTGGGTCAAACGACTCAAAATCACTTAAAACGTCGAGAAAACATAAAATTAGAAACTTCATTTTTGGAAAGCAATTCCATATAATCACATCTAAATTGAAGCTCCTTATAAAACTGATATTTTACAAAATTTTGCTCTTTCAACTTTTATGGCAAGAAAAAAAGAGAATAGAATAAAATAGTAAATTAGAATAGAATAGAAGAACTTTTCTTTATATGAAGAGATGAAAACATATATTTCAAGCATATTTAACTTCCCCGTAGGGTAAGTTATTGTAATCGTCCAAAAATCGAAATTGATTTTTTTTTGCATTTCTCGACGTTTTGAAGGTTTCTGAAGATTTTGGCATACCTCAGAAAAAATTGATGTGTGTGTGTGTTTTGTGTGTCTGCATTTTTTCGCTCACGTTTTCAGGCGCACGGATCAACCGATTTGAATGGTTCAAAAACATTCGATTCCTATTGATAGGGAGATGTGCTGATTAGTTTTTGTTAAAGGCAGGTCCAGCAGTTACGGAGATAAGCAGCAAAGAGTGCAGAAAATAGAAATCGAGTTTTTGAGAGAACCGAGCATCCGATTTGAATGATCCACAAAACATTCAATTAGTAATGATTGTGAGATGTGGTTATTAGTTTTTGGCAAAGGCAGGCCCAGCCATTTACAGAGATACAGAGCTAAATGTGCTAAAAAGGCAGTTTTTGAAAGAACTATGCGTCCGAATTAAATGATTCAAAGAACTTTCTGCTTGTTTTAACAAAATAATTGATTTTGGAAAAAAAAATTGTTTAAAATTTTTTTTTCAATTTTTTTTTCAAAAATCTATCTATATAAGATATAAAATCAATTGAGTATGATATAGAATATAGTAAAACTAAGAACTGCATCCATTGATGTAGAGTTTTACCATAGATAAAAGAAGAGTATAGTTAAGAGTGAGTTTCACAGTGTTTAGGATAAAGATTGTCAAATAAGACAGAAAAAGAAAATAAAGTTTGTACTAATAATTAAATCTAAAACAAGTCATTAGGTCTTTTTTTTTTATCTTGTGTCATGTGTGTGTTGTAATCTTCTGAGGTGTATTTGTAAAAATTTTAAAAATATATAATTTCTGATTACCTTCTTTAAATATAATTCTCTTATTCTTCTCTGTATTCTAACTGCTTATCGTCGCGAGCACGCGATTCTAATAAACAAATTCTAACGTGTGAACACATGAACCAGACAACTCCATTCAAGAATCACGGTAATTCTAATTACACTACATGTGTACTCGTACAGAATAAGTAAAAGACTCGTATTTAATTATTCAGCGAGTGTGCAAGATCGCAGATTATGGTGATTTATTATTATTTAGATACGCTTATTAGAAAAGATACAGAGACTGAATTCATTAAAGCATGGCAGCATGGCAGCATGGCAGCATGGCGTACAAAGGAATGATTGAGATTTGTGTGTTATGAAATGAAATGTATTTATTATGTATGCACAAACGCAAACATTAGCGATGTGGAAAATTATGGTTGATAGATGGTATATGATTTAGGAGAAATATTCATAAACTGTCTTCACTTCTTATGCCTGTAATGATAACATTTTCACTAGGGAATGTCCATTAATCACATGATCGAATTTTTAAGGATTCTTTGGCCTCCCTTCCCCTTGGTGATACGTGGTAATATTCAAAATTACTTCTCCTCCCCCACCAAATATCACGTAATTTTTTTTTTTGAAAATGTTTGGATTTTTTTTTAATTCAGGTAAAAAATAAATACACGTGTTATCTTAGAAGACACCTCCTTTCCCCAATGTGATATTTCGTGATTTTTTGTCACACCCCCCTCCCCCTAAATACCTCACGTGATTAATGGACGCCCATTAGAGGAGCGCAATAATAACGTGATCATTTCGAAGCAGTTTTAATTATAATATTACAATATTTATATTACAATAAATTGTAATTATATTATAGTATTAAGTTGTCAACTAAGTAAGTGCGGTTGTCAGCTCAGATGGTTTCAATTAAGTTTTTGGGTTTGCCAAATGTAAAAAACTTTTTCTTAATGGATATAGTAGGCAGTTAATGTGTTTATCAGTAAAAAAGTGTTTTTTGATTCATTGATTAGTTTTCGTTTGGCTTTTGGTAAAAAATGGAAAATCAAATCAATTATTTTTTGTAATGGGTTGCCTTTTTATTTCAACAAAGACAACAAGGTATCTCAAGCTGACAAAAAGTCATGAGCTGTTTATGATGACAAAGCCTTAAATAAAACGGCTGTGTCAAAATTGGTTTGCCAAATTTAGTTAAACATCCAGTATCCAGTAGAAGTTGTTCACGGTCCAAATGTTAAAAACATTTTGTTAATGGATAGTGGGCATTTCAGGTGTCCATCAGTAAAAAAGGGTTTTTTGATTCATTACGTAGTTTTCGTTTGGCATTCATTGAAAGACGGAAATTCAAATCAAACATTTTTGTCATTTTTGGCTTTTTTATTTCTGCAAAGATTGCAATTTTATCTTAACTTAGTCTGGTGATTTTTCTCTTACAGATGATAAACGGTCTGGTCGTCCAGTTAAAATTAATTACTTTGGAATAATCTACTTTTACACTTGCCATCCAAGGTAACAATCAACTCTGATGTCTATATTGAGCAACAAAATTAAACAAAGCAGTCAAAGAAAAACTTCTTTAAAAATGGTAAAAAAAAAGTTGTCTTAATTGACAACTCAAAACTATAATTTATTCCATTATTGGCGTCATATATCTTCGATCACTCGGCAAACATTTTTGGAGCTTGTTTGGGATGATTTACCATATCCACAATACAGTGCTGACTGTGGACATTCTGATTACTTTTTGCTTCGACGTTAACAATGCTCCTTGAATGGTAAACAATTCAATTATTGTGATGCTGCCAAATTGCACCTGATTCAGTTTATTGCTAATAAAAACCAGAAGTTTATTGAAAGTTGTCCACTTTTATTCTTACCACCAAACCGAACGATCAACTCTGATGTCTATATTGAGCAACTAACAAAATTAAACAACGCAGTCAAAGAAAAGCGGCCTAAATTGACAAATGGAAACGTTGATTACTTCCATTATTGGCATCACATATGTTTGGTCACTCGGCAAAAAATTTGGAGCTTTTTTGGAATGATTTACCATATCAAACATACAGTGCTGACTGTAGACCTTCTGATTACTTCGACCTTAACAAAATTCCTTGAACGGCAAACAATTCAATTATTATGATGGTGTCAAACTGTATCTGATTCAAATTGTTGCTAATGAAAACCAGAAATTTGTTGAAAGTAGTATAATGATGCTGTTTGAGAGATGGCAAAAAGTCACTGATCAAAATTGATAATACATCACAGAATTAAGTTATTTAGTTCCAGAAAAAAGTCTTTGATTTTCTAAAAAAATCCGGACTTACCTAGTTGCTAATCTAATAATTTTTTAACTTCCCGAGGGCAAGCTATAGAACTCGCAAAAAAAATCGAAAATAATTTTTTTTATATGTCTTTACGTTTCAAAGGTTTCTGAACATTTTGGTATAACTTAGAAAAAATGGATGTGTGTGTGTGTGTGCGGATACAAATTTTCGTCGACGATTTCGGTAACACGATTCAACCGATTTCAAATATTCAAAAAACATTCGATTCCTATTGATAAGGAGACGTGCTGATTAGCTTTTAGTAGAAGCAGGTAGGAAGATACGGCCCAAAACGGTAACTCAGTTTTTAAGAGAACGAAGGGTCCGATTTCAATCATTCAAAAAACATTTTACTTGTATTGACAAGATGAAGAACTCATAAAATTTTTGGGAAGGCAGATCTAGTGACATATGCACAACAAATTATCAGATATTTTATAGAGATTTTAATAATGTGTATCAATTTTGTTTACATTTCTATGAGTTCCGTAACAGTTGAAAAAGTTCCAAATTTCCAAAATATTTCAAAATAAAAAAAGCCATTTTTTTTTCAAAAATTTAAAATATCTCAAAATTTTTTTTTTATTTGGAAAAACAATCTTTTTTAAAAAAAAGTTAATTTTTGGTACAGGAAGTTCCAGCAATTTGCCTCGACACACGATGCTATACACCACTAGTTAATAATTAGTATCAGACCCAGTAAAATTCCACTAACCTTCTAGGTTTAGGTCTAACAATCTCATGATCAGCGTCCGTGATGCACACGCCCAGAGTCTGAGACCGGCAAGGGCGCGCCTGAGGCAAGGAAGATCCTTGGTGGGGCGCCCCTAGGGTTTTGCTGGCGGACCCTCGACACACAGGCGATCTTACTGGAGACAGGGGCGAATCTCGGCAAGGAGAGCCCGTTGGCCATGTTGAATTCATGACAAATGATGGCTGGAGGCTAGTGTGACAACCATGGAAGGTGTCGCATTTGAAATATCAATTCTGAAAAAGAGGAAAGGAAATATAATAAGGAATTAGATGAAAATATAAGAACTTGTGTGGAATTATAAGGATGCCTCTGTTTATGATGAAAATAGCATTATAGTAAATTCAGCATATGTTGTAAAAATGTTTAGCTTCGACATTGTCAATGCAGAGGTTTAATACTATTAAAAAGTTTTGAAAATATATGATAGTTGAATGAAGAACCATATACAAACCCTTTAAATTACTGCATGTTGTACTTTCAAATAATATCAAGTATTAATATATTTTTTTAATTTGCCTATTCATTTTGGCAAATTTTTGGTAGTACTATGGTTAGTACTGTTGGTAGTACGTCTTAAACGATTGTCTTCACCTTTATGTGTAAATAACTCATTATTTTGAACTATGAGCCATAAAGAAGTTGTAATAAGATAAAAAGATTCTTAAATAATATTGAATGTTAGTTTCGTAATACATTCCATTTTGTCCAAATGGCAAGCAAAATACATACATCATTATTTAAAGTCTATCCCATGCGTGTACTTAATTTTATGCTCCGTCGGATATTTTACAATGGCAATAGAAACCGTCCCCACACTTATTTATATTTTAAAACATAATTAAACAAAATGACCAAATATTCCCTCTTATTACCAACCATGCATGACTTGAAAAAATCTAATCTACAATAATATTTTTCACCAAATGATGAATACAAATTAAAAATATTAATTCATTATAAATAAGTATAAGGAATTCAACTTGTTTATCTATATCACTTTAGAGCTAGTGAATCAAAGTTTTAAAAAAGCTAGAAATAATGTGTTAATGAATAAATATATTTAATGACAATAATTAATATAGGTATATTTAATTAAATTATATATTTATTTTAATTATAAGTAATTTTATATGTCGTTCAACAAATATACATATTTATTAAAATGCATTTTATAGAAGTAAAGATGCAAATTTATGCATCGATTAAAAAAAACTTAAAAATTAATATTTATTTCGTTTTAAAAATCAATTAGAACTTGTGCAGAATAGTCCTATAAACTGATGTGATGTTACTTACAAGTCTTTTTAGTATGAAACCCAATGGCCAACCTATCTATATTTGATATATTTTCATTATTAGAATTTTTTTAATACTGATGATATATTTTTTATTAATTATTATAAGTAAATCATTGAAATTCATCTTTTACGTACCCTAGAAAAATAAAATTAAAAAAATAGAAAATTAAGTTTATTATGTAATAGCTTATTTAATTTATAAATTAGTTAAGTTCTATCTATGTGACTTATTAATTAAAGTAAAACATGGCAAATACATAAGTTTAATTTCAGTTTATCAAGTAATTTATATCTGGATTCGATTTCAAAAACTAAGGTTTCAATTTGTAATTAGGATAATTAATTTATTCACAACGTTGGGAATTTTAATATCATAGCTTCTGTCTAATATAAAAAAAATAATTACTTGGTATCCAAAGATATTAAGTTACCAATGCCAAGATCTGGTGTAGAGAAGACTGTCTAAAACCTAGTCATAATTTAAATTTAATTATTACAAACGATGCAATTAAAATACCAACCTGTTGTTTCGTATTTAAATTAAAACGTTTTTAATATCATAAATTCTAAAATGCATTAGGGTTGTACACGTTAATAAAAAAAACAAAGATATAAAATATTCTTATACTGCATTCGTAATAAGTAGTGCATTATTCTTTATATTCACACGTTGCAGACCTTGACATTTCGCAAATTTATTTTCATGATAATAATCGAATTTGAAACAAAATGTCGTGGGATCTGGTTTTTAACAAAGTAACAATAATAAAAAATTATTTCTCTGCATTCACTGCATTTACTTGTTTGTAGACAGTATAGTGTTATTTTTTTAGCATAATGATATTATGAATTGTAATAATTTTGAGTTTGCGCGTAATCTTACGCATGGCATGCGCGTAAGATACGCGGGCAAAATGTTTGCAAATAATTGGATAATTTAAAAGTTTCTGCTGAGCTGTAATATGACTATAGTTGACCTCTGGTTGATCATTCTAGTGTAATAAACTTATTTCTTTGCATTATACCTTATTTTTTAACGCATTCACTACCAATCTTGTATTGCATAAACAAGACTTTTTTCTAATTTTTTTACTGGTTTATTATAATAATAAAAACAAATCTGGAGTACCAAAATAGGGTAAATAGGACTATTTCACGTTGAAATAATTATAGTACAAAATTTCAATCTAAATACTCAATTTTACTAAAAACAACTTATTCTTAAGTGCGAAGAAGGCAAACGCACCTCTTGCGTTCGGCGCTTGGCTATTATTAAAAAGCTCACGCAACATATGCGTGCGCAGAAAGAATAAGCTTTGAATAAAATACTTACATATTCAGTTAGAAGCAATGTCTACCATGTAATGCATTTTGTCTTATAATTAGATATACTGAGTTAGTGAAAAAATAGTTGAAACTAGTGGGGCGCATGGCATCGTGCCTTAAGGCAAATTGCTGGAACTTCCTGTACCAAAAAAATTTTTTTTTTAGAGATTAACATTTTTGAAAAAAATTTACTCTGAAAAATTAGATTTTTGACGGATAAACATTAGTACGGGACCTATAGGAATGTAAACAAAATTTATACTAATTGTTAAAATCTCTATAAAATATCAGATAATTTTGTGCATATGTCTAATGATCATTTTTGACCGCCAGATGGTATTTCTTTTTTACTTTTTTTACTAAATCTCCAAAACCGCTAAAACTACCTTCATCAGTTTTTCATCTTGTTAATACAAGTAAAATGTTCTTTGAATTATCCAAATCGGACGCTCCGTTCTCTTAAAAACTGAGTTACCGTTTTTGGCACTTTTTGCCCCGTATGTTCGGAACGGCTAGACCTGCCTCCGCCAAAAACTAATCAACACGTCTCCCTATCAATACGAATCGAATGTTATTTGAATTTTTTAAATCGCTTCATACTTGTTCCCGAAATCGTCGACGAAAATTTGTATCCGACATACACACACGCACACACACACATACACACACACATACATCTATTTTTTTTAAGGTATGCCAAAATATTCAGAAACCTTTGAAATGAAGATATATAAAAATTTTCATTTTCGATTTTTTTGCGATTACTATAACTTACCCTACGGGAAGTTAAAAATTAGATTTTGAAAATTTTGATAAAATTGACTTTTTTGTATTTTGATTTTTTTTTTGAAAATTTTGAACATTTTTTGTCAGCCAAAAAAATTTGCAGGGTCCACGAATTGAAAATGAAAATATCGTCGATACATAAAAGTTTGAGAAACAATGAATTAAACGAAAAGTTAAAAACTTGCAACGACTACTATTAGAGTAGACTATTAAACTAGATTCTAGAAATTAAACAATTAATTTACTTAAAAAATAACCAACTTCTCAATCCAGAGCAATGTATCTTTCGAAGGATAATTTTTATAATCTCTGCAGATCATTCGGATACAAAATGATTGTTTTATAATAATTATGACGAAGCCGTTACATTGATACGGAGAGATCTACAATCGCAATCAATTATAAACAAGATATGAAAACAAAAACAACATCCTGCAAGTACCGCTACTCTTATATAAACTATGTAGAGCATTTATCAAAACAAATAAAATCAAGAGCAGATTATAAGCACGAGTGGCGGAAGAAATTGCAAAATTAATGTAAAATGACCAGAAGATAGTTGAAATATTTAACACTTAGAATTATTAAATTTATTCAGGAGGTATTATCGAAATGAAAAATATTTAGTGAAATATATAGTATTTATATTATTTTTACATTACATATAAATGATACTCGAGAGTAAAAGATTCGGAAAAAAAATATGTACCTGTTACATCCGAAACTATGATAATTGTATAATGATAAAACTGTATAATTATATAGATTCAGTGTTTCAGTTTAATGGTTAACTCAATGTATAAGGGGCGGCCTTTAAGAGAGAGGGGGGAGTGGTAGGTTCTTCCTGCTGCTAAACAAAACTGTTGCTAATCTGTGGAGGCTGAAGTTAGTTGATTTTTACCTGAATTTTAAAAAAAAAATCAACATTTTTCAAAAATGTTTAAAAAAATACGTTTTTTTCTAGATACTAAATTACACGTAAAGTTTCATGGGGAAGGGAGAATTAATTTTAAATATTACAAATTATCACCAGAGGGAGAGAAGAATCCAAAAATCTTTCAAAAGCGATCACGTGATTAATGGACGCTCCCTAACTACAAAAATTATGAGAAAAATTGACAAATATTCATTTCTTCATTTCATTCATTTTTTTTAGTAAAGCTAATATATTTTTAATTTTCCTTAACTAAAAATATTGTTTATTTTTAGGAAATTTTATTTTAGTTGTTCAATATATATGCAACCATACACATTTCAATTAAAAATAAGATTTATAGTAAATTATTTTCCTAGAAAATTACATTTTTAGAAATGCTATAAACATTAATTATAAACTCTTAATGATAATCGATATTAATTTGAATTTGATATCATGATATTTGTATATTTGTTATATTCTAAATATAGATTAATGAAAGCTCATTAAACCCGTCTATCAAATGAAAGTTGGTTTAATAACTTGTCTTCAAATTGATTTTAAATCATATATTATTATACATGTAACAAATTTATTATATTTTTATCATAAAATTAATTTTCTTGATAATTTATAAATAATTAACATAATAACTTCCCCTAGGGTAAGTTATAGTAATCGTCTAAAAATAGATTTTGATTTTTTTTCATATTTTCACGTTTTGAAGGTTTCTGAACATTTTGGCATACCTCAGAAAAAATGGATGTGTGTGTGTGAGCGTGTATGTATGTATGGATACAATTTTTCGTCCACATTTTTGGGCGCACGGATCAACCGATTTGAATGGTTCAAAAAACATTCGATTCCTATTGATAGGAAGATGTGCTGATTTGTTTTTGGCAAAGGCAGGTCCAGCCGTTACGGAGATACGGAGCAAAGAGTGCAGAAAATACAAATCGAATTTCTGAAAGAACGGAGTATCCGAATTGAATGATCCAAAATACATTCAATTTGTAATGATTGGGATAAGTGGTGATTAGATTTTGGCAAAGGCAGGTCCAGACATTTAGGAGATATCGAGCTGAATGTACAAAAAATGGCAGTTTTTGAGAGAACTAAGCATCCGATTTGAATGATTCAAAAAACTTTCTGCTTGTGTTGACAAAATAATTGCTTTTGCAAAAAATATTTCAACACTTTTTTTGTATATCAAATATAAATCAGATTTTAATTTTAATTCTGGTAAAGTCCTAAAAATCACTTATGTCCTTTAAATAAATAATTTTTACTTTGTAATTCAGTTTGTATAATTCTTATAAATATTAGACAATAGTACAGAATTTATAATAATCTATTTGAAAACATTCAGTATTCCTCGAACATTTCGTTATGGTATTGGAAGTTCCAGCAAATTTGTTATCATAAAATTAAGTTTAATAATTTATAATCAATTATTAATATATTTTTAATTATTTTTAAACAAGACTAAAAAATTTTCAGTACTTTTGAGTAATAAATGTACTTCTTTACATTGAAATTCTTTACAGTTTTATTGGAACATTCTAATTCTTAAGGATATAAATAATAAGTATAAATTGTGCAATAATTACACTTACCGCGTTTTATCATTCCTTTATATTTTTAACATAATTTATATTTAAAATCAAGAAAACAACTTGTATCAATAAAAAATTATTAATTTATATATTTTATAAAATTCGTGTACCTTTTGATCTTTGTACCTGTTACTTTTTTGTTAAAAATTCTTCTCGGTCACTTTAAAGGTATGCGTGAGTCGCCCGAGGCTACGAGAATCGCATTCCAATCAATTTATTAAACTTAAATCACAAGAAAACTATTTATTAATTTGCTGAACCAAGAATAACTTGAAACACTGTGTTGATTTGGAACATAATTTTAAATTTAAAATAATTTGCAAACAATGCATCAGTAATGCAGTAATTTCCGACACGTCAATAATGGAATCATTAATATATTAATTCACTAATTCTAATTATTTCACATCACTTAAACTTTTCCTTATTCCATCCATGTAAAATATTTTCTCAAAATTCACCATACTTAAAAAATGTAAGCTTCACTGAAAACTTTTCCCTTTACCACATTTACTACTAATAACCATCAATTATTACATAAACAGCTTTTTGTTAAGAATTCGTAAACTTACTTGACAAATGTAAACATTCTAAATAATAAAATGTTATCCAAAATCGCAGAACACAAAAAAACTATTTCGAGCACTTATTTACATTCCTCACACACCTGAAGACATTTGGAACCTGAGGATTTTTACAAAAAGTCACAAAATACAAAAAAACGTTTCCAGGTGTTGCCAGATGAGAAGAAACATATTATTTATTTAAAATATTTGTAGATTTTATTTATATTTTGAAAATCTTTTTTAATGTAATGAATATTACCAGATATTTAGATATTATTGTAATTAACATATAAATAGGTTTAAGAAAATTTACCAATAAATTTTAATATAATAAAATTTGTATTCTACTATAGAGCGAGAGCTAGTACCATTTATATAAGATTGAATTATAATTTACTTTAGAAGAATCTTTTGATTAAACATAGAAATAATATTTTTATTTAATTACTAAATATCTGATGAATTTTAATTATCTGCTTAATATTGAGCCCGATATTATGTTAGATTCGCTAAAACTCAAAAACGGCTGAACCGATTTGGTCAGAGTTAGTCTTGGAATGTTTGTACAAATCCAGAGATTGTGAGAAAGGCGAGAAATTATTTCAAAACCGCGTAGAAACTTTGCACTTATAACTAAAATTTTTTGTAGAAGCCTAGTTTAAAATGAAACAATGAAGGGCGGCTCATACGTCAAATGCTAAATGATTTGGACAGATTACGCTCAACTGAATTGAATAAGTTGTTTTAGGTAAATATTACTTAATTTTAGCAAGTAGTTTTATTTATACACTACTTTAGTTTAGTTTTATTTATACAATATAATTTATAAAATAATTATTAAGCAGGTCGCAAAGTATTATTACAAGCTCAACTAATCAACATTTTTGAAATGATAATATGAAAATACTAATCATATTTATTTCAAAGGGTGTACTCTGAAAGAACTCGTTAGAAATTGCAATGACTATATAAGAAATTAAAATTTAATTAGAACTTGCAACTAATTATTAACTTCCCATAGGGTAAGTTATAGTAATCGCAAAAAATCGAAAATGAAAATTTTTGCATATCTTTCAAGTTTCAATGGTTTCTGAACATTTTGGTACATCTTAAAAAATGATTGTACGTGTGTGTGGGTGTGTTCGGATAAAAATATTTGACAACAACTTTGAGAACACGGATCAACCGATTTGCACGATTCAAAAAAACTTTTGATTCATATTGTTGGAGAGACGTACTGATTAGTTTTTGGCAACAGCAGGTCTAACCATTTTGAAGATATGGGGCAAAATGTACCAAAAAAGGGTAAATCAGTTTTTGAAAGAACGGAGCGTCCGATTTCAATAATGATCAAAAATGATCACTAGAAATATGTATATCGAATTATCGACATATGTATATATTTTAGTGAAATTTTAATAAGTGCAAATTTTGTTTATACTGTTGCCAGGATTTATAACTGCCAAGACTGTTAAATTTAACGAGTTTTTCATTTCACCGATACATGTAAAATGATTTTTGAATTATTGAAATCGAACGCACCGTTCTTTCGAAAACTGATTCATCATTTTTGGCGCTTTTAGCCAAGTATCTTCGAAAAGATAGATTTGCCAAAACTAATCAGTAATAGTAAAACTAACAATCAATAGGAATTGAACGTTTTTTCAAAAATTTTGAAAACGTATTTTTTAAATATGTCCAATGTTTTCAAAAATTTGAGAATTTTCAAAAAATTATAAAAAAAAATTAAATCGCTGTACGGAAAGTTTTAGCAATGAGCAATTACCTTTAAGATACGATGTCATGCACAACTAGTTTATTTTATACAATACGAGAAAAAAAAACTCACAATCAGCTCAAGAAAATATTCTACTACGTTACTATCAGTGCACTACTAATGTCGTAATACAGAAATATTTCTCAACTACGGCAACACTTGCGTACGTCAAAACTTAAGCAGAAATTGAACTATGACTGTGAATGAACCCTTCAACAAGAACCAAGCCAAACATCAATATGCCTTTCGCGCAAACTGTCACATTCTAAACGAATATTTATAAAACTTAGTTATAAAATATAAAACTTAGTCCCTAAAAATTCGCTTTTTAAGCGATTATTTACTTCGTATCCTGTATGTTAATACAAAAATATGGGTAAGGCAAATATGTTGATTTGCAGTAACAGAATGACATTAAAGCATTAATTAATGACATATAATCAACATAAATTAGGTTATAATAAATCCTATGTTTTAGGGGGACTTTTCAGTTATTTTAGAAACTTGCTAGGTGCTCGGGAGATGAGAATTTTAATTTTAGGTTTGGATGGCGCCGGCAAAACTACAATATTATACAGATTACAAGTTGGTGAAGTTGTTACAACTATACCAACAATTGGCTTTAATGTAGAACAAGTTACTTATAAAAATCTCAAATTTCAAGTATGGGACTTAGGAGGACAGACTAGCATACGGTTAATATTATTTTCATATATTTTTGCACAATATTGATGTTTTAAGTGATTATTTTCAAAGTTCCAAGTAATTGTACAAATAACAAAGAAGTTTCTAAACAGTTTTATCATTTTATCCTCTCAATTATAAACAACTATTTTGCTTATATAACAGACAAGTAGTGGTTTAAATACCATTCTTAAAACTATTTCTTTCATTTGTAAAAGAATTCTACAGGATCTTACAAGTTTATAAATCTTAAGTTCTAGTTAATTCTAAACATCAGCATCTAGATAAATCATTGCAAACAATGCTTTAGCTTCATACAATAAACAACAACTATTGTTAGAATTTGATTTGACTTATATATGTTTTACCATTTTTAGACCTTATTGGCGTTGCTATTATAGTAATACAGATGCCATTATTTATGTTGTGGATTCAGCCGACAGAGATAGAATTGGAATATCTAAAGATGAATTACTCTACATGTTAGGTGTAAGTGAAGCTTTGAAGAATATTTGTTATTCAGTTCAAATAGTGAAGTGTTATTTTTGCCTATTGAAATCAACACATCAGATTTTAATTCTAACAAAATAAAGAGACAGTTATTAGTAAGATATTATGATTTTAAATATGTTATAGGAAGAAGAATTAGCTGGTGCTATTCTCGTTGTTCTTGCCAATAAACAAGACATGGCTGGGTGCTTATCAGTAGCCGAGGTTCATCAAGCATTGGGCTTAGAAGCTTTAAAAAACCGTACATTCCAAATATTCAAAACGTCAGCAACAAAAGGTGAAGGCTTAGATCAGGCAATGGATTGGCTATCTAATGCGTTACAAGCTAGGAAATAATATAAAATCAATAGTCAATTATGTATGTTCTAAACCAGGATTGAATGTGGTTATCACCTAAACGAGCACATACATATTTATTTATACATATTTATATTTAAACTGTCATGTATGCAATTTCTATATGTTGAACATTTATATGTTTATATTAAAATGCAAAAATTTCAAATATCAATTCAACATTTCAACAATCAACTTTTTATGGCCGACTGTTTTGCCATAAGATTTTGATGCTTCTGTACAAAATATTTTTAATTACTTTAAATTAGCACACAAGCAAATCTTGTAAGGTTTTCATTTCAGAATCATACAATAAAATAATTGTGATTTTGGCGATTTTATACTATTATAGTTATACTTAATTTATAATGTATTTGTATACAAAAAGACCTCAATTTGTATATGATATCTATTTAATATTAATTTCAATTATGAAAATATATGTATATATGAAATGTAATAAATAAAACATGTAATTTTTATTACAAGAAATATTTATTTGTCTTTGAATGAATCTTACCAGCTCGGTAAACCGAACCGTTCAACACGTTTGACTTGAGTATCTAATTCGATTTGAATCTTTTTCCTCATGTAGAAAATTGGGCAGTCCCGGCTGTAACAAAATAATAACTTGCTTATTTTAAATAATTTAACTATCTAGTTCATGTACATTGATAATTATTTTCATTTAATTTGCTAAAAATCTTCTGCATATTCAATATTATCGTGAATATCATCAATGCCATCTATATTTAACAATTTCTTTTTAAGGAGTTCATATTGCTCACGGTCATCTGTAGATAACTGAACAGAAACATGAGGAGTAAAAACTTTCTCATAGTGCTCAATTTTATAGCCTTTAGCATCCAGATTTTTTTTAACTCGATCTATGTAAAGTGGATTTGTTTCGAATTGAATGTAATTCTCATTTTCATCTACAAGATCTACGTCTTCTGCCCCTGCTTCAATAGCATGCTCTGTAGCATGGTCAAGGGTCTGCCCATCTAGCAACTTTGTTGTTATGATTCCTCTTTCTTCAAACATGTGTTTACACATAGCAAATTCAACAAGTCTAGACTTCTTAACTACTCCGTTGACTTCAGCTTTCGTCTTAGCTAAATTATCTGTTACTAGAGACAGCAAAATAAATGCATTTCTATTTAATAATTTGAGTTCTATTATTCCTTGTTTCATCACTGTTTTTGCATCCTTTTTTTCATAATTGGTTAAAATTTTGGTAATTGTAGCTTTAGGCATATTCTGATTCATTGCATGTTCTATGATGTTATTTAGTTGATTATTAATCTTAGCATCTGTGCTACCACCCCCCTCAACGATTGCTAAACGTATTTGTCTTGATAATTTTGTAAATAAGTCACTTTTTTTACTGTCCATCAAAGCTTTTATGTGCCGGATATTTTGCCATTTTGAATGACCTGCATAATTTATTGAACACGTATGGAATAAGCTTTGAAATTGCTTGTTTTGTATAGGCCTGGTTTTTAAAATATTAAAAATTATGGTATTGAGAAACATTTTAATAAATTTTGATTTTACAGTGATTTTGACATTTTAAGGTTAGTTTCCGTATTGCCACAGGCGAACGCATATGACATTAAATAAAACCGGTAAAATTACATAAATTTTAAAAGAAAATTGAAATCAATTACTTTTAATAGCTTAATTTGTAAGTATGTGAAAACATTCTTTCTTATGCAAAATGCAAGTACAATCTTTGCTTATCTAATTTCTGTGTATTTGAAAATTTATGCAAAAGCTACTTAATCCACTTACTCTCAAATTTGAACTGTTGTATGCTAATAATATTAAATTAGTCAAAAAAAAAAAAAATACTTTGAGAACTCGCATGCATGCCTGCATTTCATATTCAATGTGTATTCAATACACTAGTATACTATGCTCAAAAATATGAGCAATATTTTTTTGTTTTCCTCTCACAAAACATATTTTAGTGGCATATCAATAATCACAATTTAGGACTCTTATTTAGCTTCTTGTCCATGTAACTTAGTTAATATGATTAGAAATCATATTGTCCATAAATTATTGTGTTATGTTAAGCCTTTTGCATACCTTCACTTTTTAATAATTACAAATTTCTTGCATTATTTCACTGATGCAGTTTGAAAATTTTTACTTAAATCCTTAATTAAAAACTCTTAAAAACCAATACAATAATCTTATGTAATATAAATAATAAAATAAATAAGTACTCACTTGGTGCATATCACTTCCTCATGTAAAGAACCTTGACACCTTTGACATTCTGTCCATAATCGGCAATATTTTTCTTCAAGGTTTCTTTGCGATTCCATTTCATTGATATATAGTATAGATTGTCTAGGAATACAATGAGGACATAAAGCTCCTTTTTCATAACCTGCTGGAAGTAACGCTTTGCATCCTATACATGCTTCCTTTTTCTTTGTAAATGCAGATAGAGCTCCAACACGAGATGTGGCCATAGATTTAGTTCTTGTGTGATCACCACCTGTTGTTATTATACCATTTTATTATATTAATTTACAGAATTACATATAAAATAATTACAAATATCAAAATTGTAGATATTAAATATAATGAAATTACTATCAAAAGAGTTACTATAGATATCATTAAATTCAATAGATAGATAATCTTTCCTTTGTATCAGAATTGTAAATATAAAATGATTTTCAAAGTTTTAGCAGTTTTCCTCAAAATAGAGCCATAAGTTTTTAATAGGAATTATTAATGATTGATGTGGAACAATTTATAATTTTATAGAGTTTTAAATAAGTAACTACTTACGCAAGAGGAGAGATTCAGCTTTATCACCTAATATAGGTTCAAAGATCCTCAATAAAGGTTTCGATAATTGATTTTCCAAATAATAAGCACTATCTATTGGAATACTGTTTTCTAATACATATATTGGATCTTCTGCTTTCATATATGCAGGAGTATTCTTAGCTGCTGCACATAAAACATATGGTACACGATCACCTATAATAATAAAATTAAAACTTAGTAAATTAGAAAAACAAATTATAAATGAAAACTAATGTTGATTAAATTAAATTCTTGATAACTGCATTATATGAATGCATAATAAGCCTGTAACTACAATGTTTACATGCTCAATTTTATATCTAATATTTATATTACTATCAGAAAAATAATTGAATATTATTTATCAATGCGTTTACCTAGTTTGGGTGCAGTGCCCGCATCTCGTTTCTTCATTTTATTAGCTAGTTCTACATGGGCTTGTTTGGCAGCGTAATCACTTTTTGAAAGTTCTTTTGTGATAACTAATTGTGAAATATCAATTTTATTACAAAGTAAATCTGAAATTACTTGTTTAGCATATTCTACAGCACCTTCTGGATCCCTGATTATTAATTTTGAGATATCAATTAATAACTTTTTAGTTTTAATAATAAGTAATGTATATGATAATCATAAAGATTTATCAATTATTACCTGTGCACTAGAATTTTTTGAAGACACATGTTCATCATGTTAGCAACCAAGGGACTATTATCTCTTCGTACAGTTTCAATACCCTTACAATCTATTTTATCATATTTATCAGTTCTTGTATAATACAATCCAGCATATCTTTTTTTATTTATTAATAAATATGGAAAATAAACTTTTTCAAACTCCAGCTTTATTGGCCTAATAAATTTCTGACTTACAAACTCTGCAGCTTCTCGACCTTTAAAATTAAATTATATGATAAACTTAATAAATATTCATTATTAACTAAAAAATTTCTTATCAAAACTGTTTTGTAAAATTTGGTAATTTCTAAAAATTTGTATTGACCATTAAGAAAGTGGAAAAAATAAAATTCAAATAATATTTTAAACAAACACATAAAAACACAAATTCAGTGTGTCTTATTGTGTTATTCATACCTAATTCCATACTTCGTTCCAAACTCTTAACACCAAAATTAACCATGACGGAGTCTGTATCTCCATAAATTACCACAGCATCACTTTCGTAACCATTAGCTATAGTATATTTACGTTCTACTTCTTGTTTGGTTTGTTCTATCATAGTTCTGCCGTATGCAGTTACACTCTAGAAAATAAATTCATAATCACTTATGAATTAAATAAAATTTGTAAACCTATAAAAATTAAAATATTTAATAAAATAAAGCAAGTCATTGGTAATTTAGTTATTTAGCTTTAGTTGTATAAAACATCAATATTTATATCTAAGACACATATTTTTACCCCAGATATCTCTAGGCATGGTAATCGGCCAACTTGTGCTCCAGTAAAACCATAAACACTGTTTGCACTAATTTTTAATGCAAGTTGACGACCATCTAAAACAGACCGCTTAAAAGGATCTTTCTCATCTCGAAGATCCGCCTTTGCTTTTTTTCTTGCTGAAAGCAAAGATTCTAAAATTTCCGGCAGCAATCCTTTACGAACTGATGACTTCACAAACAAGTTGTTTGAGGGAGTTCTAGTTACCTGATCATCAGTTAATCTGCAAAATATTACACAAATATAATAATTCTTATTTAACCCTAAATAATTATTTAAGATATTGTCATACCCCAATTTTTCCTTCTGTCCTGGTTGAATTAATGTAGTGTAGCACAAATTATGAGCCATCATAATACTAGGATATAGTGATGCAAAATCCAAAGTACTCACAGGATCTGCATAATATCCTCTTCTGGGTTCAATTACAGTAGCACCTTCATATTGTTCTTCAGAACCTTGTCCACTATATGTTGGCATTAAATAGCCAGCTTCTTTAGACTATCATGAAATTGAAATAAAATAGCTCAAATATTATGCTACCAATGCCGGAAAAGAAATTTAAATAAATCTGATCTTTGAAACATAATTTAAGATTAACATGATGTTCTTTATAATTAAATTATCAGAATAACTTTTAATAGCCATTTCTTTAAAAAAAAAAAAAATATATGCATTATTCTACCTTTCGAAGGAGTTGACTGACTACTTTGATTTGTTGGCCCCTCGTTAAGAGACAACCTAGAGGGACACCAGTTACCCTAGCCATTTCCATGTAATTGACAATACACATTAATTTATTCAACAACCGCAATGGAAGATAAGCATCTTTCAAACAATACATAGCCAATCTGAAAATAAACAATATTTAGTCAAATTTTAGGAACTATTATATATAATATAATTATAGTATTTTTCAATAAAATATTATATATCATTTTAGAAAATCTAACTTATATATAACCTTCTTCTAGTCTGTTCATTCCCAGCTTGCAGATCAGATATAATACTATGATGGACATCTTCTTTTTGTTCTTGTAAGAAATGAAAACTTACAGCATTCAAGGTATAAGACCGCAATTTATAATCTCTCAATAAACTAGTAACAAATCAAAGGGTACCCTGCCTTCAAATTTATTGCGTAATTCTCTCTACGACCCATTTGCTTTGACTGCAGTACAGTTTTCTTTTAAAACTGACCTGAAAAAAAAAAACAGTACAAATTGTGCTAGTGAATATATAACACAAACAATAAATACAAAATTATGATTTATAATATTACTTTTTGTCTCGAACTCGTCCCAAAAAATCAAATTTTTTCACTTTCAGATGTGCGGCTCTACGAAGTAATAAGGAAAGTCAAAGTTGTTTATATTATATCCTGTAAACACATCTGGATCAAGTTCTCTGATGAATGCTGCCCAAGCTTCTAACACTCCTGAAATGTAAAAAAAAAATAAATTATATACAATTCCAAGTAGATAAAATTGATTTTCCAAACAATACCTCTTCCTTATCATAACA